AAGCTAAAAAGTTAATAGTTTTATTGAGTTCAAAATAAAAAATAAAAAAAAAAAAAAAGAAAGAGCTTACATTATTTGTACAGATGGCTTATAAGCTTACAAAAAGCTTACATTATTTGTACAGATTTTGTATCACAATATTTTATTGTTATTATTATGTTTTGTTGAAATTTCTATTTAGTAAGCTTAAGCGATTTACACTGGTTATAGCAAATTTTAAGCGACATTTTATTGGGACAAAATTATCTGTTAGTATCAATAATGTCATCATCATCATCATCATCATTGTCATCATCATCATCATCATCATCAATCAAATTATCATCATTAGCAACAATAGAAATATCAGAAAATGGCAAAAAAGTGGAACGATCGGATGAACCAATTTCACCAAAATATGTGATACCAATAACACCTGTTAATATATCACCAACATTGGTACCATCATATCTGTCATATGGTATTAGTCAAGAAACAAATTTTGATCATAATGATGTTAAATATCAATGTTGCCATGGCTATATGCATATTACAGTGCGTTTAAAATTTTATATTTAAATTAGAATTTGAAAAATTGATCAGGAAAGCAAAGCACTTTAGAGTAATTATTTCATGTGATAAGAATAAGTTGTTTTTAGTGATAAAAATAATTGTTTGGCAGTGATTAGTTTTGCTCAAATAATCAGTCTCATCGCTTCTCCTGCCAGCAACGATAAAAAATTTTTAGTCGTATCGTTGGAAATGAATTATATCAATGAGATAATGATAATAATAACAATAATATTTTTCAGTTTTGTTGTTTCGAAATTTTTGACATTAACTTGATAATTTAATTCCTTTTTCATTTTTTGGAATTTTCTTTTCAAAGTAGTCTAATATGGTTGCTATTATAAATATTTTAAATTAAAATTTCAATTTCGATAAGTTTAATGCATTAAAAATTTAAATAAAAGAATTGGTAAATTACTTGGAATGTCTTTCCTTTTTTTTTTTTTTTTTGTTCACTAATTATTATTAACGATTATAATTAATAGCTTATAATTAATAATTATTTTACAGTTAGCAGCTCGAATTATTTCCATCGCTTATTTCTGTGGTGCGATATTTCTCATCTTTCTTACTGTATTCTCACAAGGTGTAACTTTAGCATTTTATTCGATTGCATCATTTGCTTTTACATTTGCTATCTTTGGTACTTTAACTTATGGTATTTTTAAAGAGAAGCAAGCATTCATCATACCATATATAATTTTTCAAGTAAGTTGTTAGCTTAAATTTATAATTAAAATTTTAAATGTTCACCAAATTGCTAATTTTAATTTTTTCATAATCGATATGCAATTAATAATTCTAATAATTTTATACGATATTGATTTAAGTAATGTGAATTTAATTATTAACTTAATTAATTTAGCTTTGATTTGAATTTGAAATTTTTTAATTACCAGTGTTACATTCAATACTAAATTACTCAATCTTAATTTAATAATTAACAAATGCTTAAATAATTTCTGGTATAATCAATTAATTTAATGAATTCTGATATCATATTCAATATAATAAATGCTACTACTTGTCTGTTTCATTTTGGAATCATTCTCTTCTCGTTTCTCTTTAGATTTTCAGAATTGAAACATCATTTAAAAAAAAAACAAAAAACGAAAAAATTGAAAATATTGTATTAGAAACAAAAAAAAGAACAAATTTTAATATTATTGATTAATTTTTTAAATGATAATTTAATCAAATCATGCAATATTGTTAGTAAAAATTATTTAGTATACGACAACTTTGCATATATATTTTATTTATTTAATGTGATTTTATGTTCTATTTTAGATTACATCAATGATATGTACAGTATTCATCATTGTCATCTTTGTCATTGGTTCTATGTTTTCCAATAAAATGCTTAAAAGTCTTGCTGATGATATCGCTGGAATACCAATTGATGATAACATGAATAACAAATCTGGTAATTTTTCTTTTTCTTTTTTTAACAAAATTTTCATAAATTTTATTAATACATTACCAGGTTTATTTTATAATTGTAATGCATCTTTTTTTTTCCAAATTTTGATATAATTCAATTTTTTCACAATTTCATATAATTGAATTATAGCCAGTTTTTAGTCTTTAACTTAAATTTATTTCATTCAAAAATAAATTTCTGTTTCTAATATCAAAAAAAAATGATTCATTGCACAAAATTATCTTTCAGATTTTCCGTTGAAAAAAAAGAAAGTTGGTAAGGTAATTTTGGATGTTTATAACAAAGAACTTCGTTATCAATAATAATTAACAAGTTTATTGTCAAATGCTTCATGTAATTTACATGTGATATTAAAAATTTTGCAGCTTACTTGAATACTTGTTTACTAAATTACTTTTCCATCAAATTAAAGATAATTATCAGATTGTAATTTGAATGCTTTTATATTAGATAATTTGCTAAAACGATCGGTTGATAATAATTTTATCTTTCAGATATGCAAATATTTGGTTTCCTTTTTGTGATAGCATTGGTAATATTACTATTCATTCAACTTTGGTTTATGGATGTCATTTGTCGCTTCCGAAATTTCATTCTCGATCGAGAAAATTCATTTTCACTAAATTTAACCTCCGTACTAAATAATAACAATAATGATGTATTTTTCAATAATTTACCATCACTGTATTGCAAAAAATAATTTTGTTATTATATCTGAAATAATCAATAATCACAATCATAATCATAGTACTATATTGTTAAGAAATGAAAATGCATCACTTTATTGTCTTTGTTTTCTTCATTTAATTAAAATAATTGTCAGAGCTTTGAGAAAATAAAATGAATGGAAATGTGAAAGTTTTCAAAAATTTTTTTGCAAAAAATTATTTCGCAATATTTTATGTATAATTTAAATATGTTAAATGTGTAAATTTCGATATTTTTTTTCAATAGAATAAATTTAATTTACTTCCAAAACTTCAAACTTTTCCTTTCAAATAATCCAATTGTTAGTAAATAAAATCTTCAAACTTTTTAGTTTGCATTCATGCAAAAGATGGAAATAATTATTGAGGTCATTATAATGAATACGTGTTAATACGTGAATCACGTTAGACAATCTTTTGTAATTTATTTAATCAATGTTATCTTATAAATGTGTATGGCATGACGTAAACGTTTTATTGAAAACTAAAAAAAAAGTTAATTTGAAGAATATATTGAAAACAAAAAATGATTCATCTTATTGTTTGTACAATTTCCCTTATTTACATAGCATAAACTTTTTTATTGTATCCTTTTTTCTTTTTTTCTTTTTTTTTATTGCTTTATCAATAAGTTGATGTTTTATCATTGGTTATTTTAGAAATATACCAATAATTATAAGTAATAATTAAATAATAAAATGGTATGAAAGATATTTTCTGCAAATTATTTCAGCATTTTTTTTTTATTCCAAAAATTTAAAAATTATCTTTTTGTTTAATTATGCAAAATTTAGATTCTAGCAATTGATGTTGCAGTAAAATTTCATTCTGTTAAATAAAATTAAAATCAAATGATATCATTTATTGTTTGTGATAATGAAGATATCGGATCGAATGATAACAATAAAACATTGTACATATTACATCTTCGATAAATTTCATTCGTTTTCTATAATTTAAAAGTATCTTTTAATTAATGACAAATTGGTGTAGAGGTGTATATTTTACATATTTATAATATCATTAGCAAAATTTATTAATTAAGTAAAACTTGTTCAACATTTTTTTTTCATTCATTTCCTAGTTAAATAAATAGTAAATGAATAAAACAATTCATTATATTATTGTAAGTATTTATTTTGTATATTTTACGTTAGTATTTAAAATCAATTTATAAATTCCCCTCCGGGCATTGAAATTTTTTCAAAATAGATTGATATATTAACTGTCCTCAATTGTCGTCAATGCTTACAATTTGATGAAATTTCGCGAATAATGCATTTTAGGCTTACTAACTTAATTTACCATGAATTTAACACAATTATAATTTCCCTTTAACACGTGATCCAATTATATTTTAAAGTGATAAACAACTTAAAATCAATCAATGAAAGGTCCATAAATAGCATAATTCATTTAATAATTAGACTAAAAGTTAAATTTTATTTAAAATTTTCAAAATTTTTAAAAAGTCTTTTCATTCATTTAAAATTTTACTTTAAAGTAAAACAATTTTTGTAATATCATGCTTTTTCACGAGCATTTGCTCAATTTGTGCTAAAAAGAAGCGCAATTTTCCTATTTTAAAAGATTCCTTCAAAGTTTCCAAAATTATTTATTTAAAATTTCACTATTTACCATAAATTTTGCTCGTTTTTTGCATAATACGTTTTACTTTTTTTTTTTTCGTTCAAGCATATCCATAAAATTGACTATTTCAGATTGCAATTTCAAATTTAATCAAGAGATTTATTTATGCTATTTAAATAAATGTTAATTTCTATGATTACGTGTAGATAGAAAAGTGTGACAACACGTGCGTTGCGTGTTCTTCACCAAGTTCTAACTAAATCTAAAATTTGGACAAAGTTGTAGAGTGGATAGTTCTCATACCTGTTTGGAAATAAATACTTTACTTTTAATCTTCCAAACCTTCAAGCACCAACTACTGTAATTTAAATTTCAACATTATATTTACCAAAAACTGCCATCACTTACTACTCTAAATTTAATGGAGACAATATTATATGACAATAATTTTATCAATTGCTAACATATTTATTCAAATTCTCACAAAGAGTGACTACTGCTTGTACCATATTTTCCATTCAAATGTATTACTTTTATTTTGTAGTTACTAATGCTATGAATACGAAATTCTAGATGTCCTAAGAATGATATAGCCTTATCTTAGTTTTCAAAAAGTCTTAGTTTAAAACATTTCAAGGCACCCTACTCTTATTATTTAGCATTTCAAGGCACCCTACTCTTATTATTTATCATCATTAAGTATTGCTTCTATTAGAAATTATAATTATATAAGAAATGATTAGTTTTATAATTCATTTCTTTTTAAATTCAAAATATATGTCTAACAAATATTATCAGACAAAACAATTATCGACCAATATTTACTGGCATTGCATAATAATCATTGCAAGCATAAACCTTTGATGTATTTAATTACTAGAACACAAGAAGTAATAATCTTTAAAAACGGTCTCTAATTATCTTTTAATTTTTTAAATAAAATATTGTAAACATAAATAGCATAAAATGAGGGACAGTATTTTTCCTTCATTTTATTTCCTATTTGGTAATAATGAAAAGTATCATCCAAGCATTTACTGTCCTAACTATTAATGCAAGCCAAACAAGGTGACAAACGAAATATCAATTGTCCCTTTCATTTATTAGAATGTAAAATTAATTAGAGAAATAAAATTATTCAATCATTCTGTGATTAGCAATTTATGTTTTTAATAAAATCATTGTAATTTTTATTTGAAATAAAAAGAGAAAAATGTTGTATTGGATAATTCTAACATTTTATTTTTGGATACTAGATATGGATACAATTACTTAAACACTCATTTCAATTTAATGAAGGTGGAAAAAATACTGCTAATAGCAATTACTCATAATTATGCTGAACAGGTAATACTTATAAATGAATCATGTTACTTAAAGAAACTTGTGAAATTATCAAATATCAGACTTTTATCTCAATTCATCTAAAATAAGCTACTGTTTGTTAATTATCTTTAGTAATTGCTATTGTCTTATTTTACTTTACCCCGTTAATTTCTTTTTACACTAATTAGTATAATTATATTGAGGTAAAGAGGCAATAATTGACAAGTTTTCGTCTCTAGGCCATAGGTGGTTTTGTTGTAAATGCAAAAGTATTATGTGGATCCGATCGTAATCCATCTTGTATTTATAATTATAAAGTTATTACGATTGGCAAGTACAATCGTTTTTGATCCATTAAAAAAAAGAAAAAATCAATATTTGAAGATCGAACTTATTGATTGATTGTTTAAGTAAAACCAAATTAACTGATTAGAATTCTAACAAAAATTTTTGCACCTTTTGATAAATCAACAAATTTATTTTATAATTATTCATCCAATAAAACATACCACGAATTATTATGCTTTCCGATAATATATTATTTCAAAAGAGTGATTATTTAGATGAAACTATATAAGATAATGAAATGGTTATCTGATGCTGAAATAATAGAATTTGATGACATTAATGTTGACAAATTAGATTTGTGACCGCTTACCAATTAGATTTATCGCATAAATTGCAGGATAAATTGGTAAGCAATGATAAAAATGAATTATACAATAAACAAACAATATGATTATCTTTGATCAAAAATGATAATCAATGATAAAAATGAGTTATACAATAAACAAGCAACATGATTATCTTTGATCAAAAACGATCTTTAACCCCATATCATTACCTTTGATAATAATTGATTATGGATTTAATGTTAATAGGTATGTAATAATTGAAACATAGAAGATTGATCTTCGTTGTGTTATGTCGGTGGAAAGATATCAAATCTAAAGGAAGAAGGAAAGAGATGATAAGCGAAGAAGGTGTGATATATGTGAGTTAAAAAAAAACTGACCTGTATAAGATATATTTTTTTCTCCTTTCGAGGGTTAGAGAAAGAGTTTTAGTAAGGATCTATTAGGGTTATCCTAGTGGTTAGTTAGAATTATGGTACAATCCATAAGTACAGTCTCACAAAGGTACCGAAATCTCTTTATGATACCCTCTTATTGTGTGAACTTAAATCTTTCTTATCACCTTAATTTCTATTTATGGGATTACATCATCCTGTATGATCAGTTTGTGTAATTTGTATTTTAACGTAATTTTAATTTTGGTAATCCAACATTATTAAAATTTCAAAAAAATTAAAACGTTAACAAATTAACAAGAAAAAAAGATTGGCAAAAAAATTAACAAGATTAAATCAAAATTTCAAACTCAATCATCTGTCATCTATTTCATACATAATGGGACATTTGACATTTTGATGAAATTTTAAGATAATTTTTAACACCAAAGATTGTTTCAAATCATTCAACCATCTCATATGACACACATAATATTTGACATTTGACATTTGACATTTGATATATTGATGAAAGAAAAGGTCAACTTTTTTCCATTCATTTCGTTACTTATTTATTGCACTGTTATTTGCTTTCATATTAGTATTCACTCTTTTTTTATTTATTTATTTTTCTTTAAAAGATGTTTTAAAGCTTAAAGTATAATTTATT